CCCAGAAAGGCATGCACACGCCAGAAATGGAATCCAAGGTCTTGAAACCGTTGATGGGTTCCCGCACGGCACGGATATCCCAGAGCGCCAGCTGGCGGTCGCTCATCTTGGAGAAACCGGTAGTCGCAATGCGATCACGCTCTCCCAGCCACACAGCTCGGCTGTTCTTGGCACCCGTGTGGCCATTGGTCTCGTGAGCCGGACGTTCCTGTCGCACATCCCAGATGCGGAGCTTCTTGTCACGCGAGGTAGTGACCAACAAGGAGCCGTTGGCACTCCACGACTGCGACTGAACAATATCGCCAATGTTCAGCGTGAGCTTCGGTGCGCCAGCTTCAATATCCCAGATCTTCACGGTATAGTCGCCCGAGGCCGTGGCCAGCACGTTTTCTGCCGCGGGGTTGAAGAGCACGTGGCCAATCTTCCTGCAGGGAGGGGTAAGCATTAGGCGATAACGGTTCTGATCAAAGATTCGTACTTAGGGTGGCCACTCAGTTTGCCAATAGGCGCGAGATCCTTGATGTCGTCGGCATCGGCCTCAGGTCGAACGGTGAAGTTCTCCGGAACCCGCCAGAGGAAAACCTAAAATCGGTCAGTCGCAACGCTAATAGCTGTTGTTTGTCGCAATATACCTTGCCGTCATCGGATCCCGAGGCAATCAGGTCGTCATTGAAAGGGTTCCTGCAGGGTTTCAGTGGGTTGCGGCGCGGGCGTTGTATATTTGAATTCCTTACCAGTCGGTGTCCAAAACGACGGCAGTGTGGCCTCGGCACAATGGGATGCGCTCAGGGAGCTTGCCCCGTTCCTCAAGAGGGATAATCGCAAAAGCTCCGCCACCACCTGCTTCCCAATTGACCGCAATGTGTTTCGGGTTGACCTAGATGCACCGTAAGACCGGGTTCGCCAGTGAAACATTAGGAGTGATGCGGAAGGCAAAACACACACCTTAAGAAGGTTGGTATCCCAGGCGTTTCGGGAGACTCGAAGGTTATCAAAACATTGATCCTGCGAAAGTCAGAATAGGAGATCGGGGGGGGGGGGTNCTTTACCTTTCTCGTCGATCGCCCGAAGACGTGGCCTGTAACGGTCAGCGGGGAGGCGCATTTTGGATTATAGACGTAACTCACGATATTTGGAGGAACGAACAAAACGCCCGGACATGATTACCAAGTGTTCAAACGAAAATGTTGAGCAAACAAAAAAGTAGAGCAAGGAAAAGGAGTAGGTGAAAGAGACGTTGGAGAAGCTCAAGCAATGGGGCTACTGGGGCCCGCCGCTGTTTCGGGAATTCGAGTGGAGGCAAAGGCGCCCCACGAATTGCCAACTAATTTCGGAACAGCTTGAAAAGGAGTCAACAAAGAACAGGAAGAAGTATGCTATGCCATTGTACTATCTGATCTCTAGTGAGTTCTTCTTTCGTTTTGAACATTGAAGCCATTCATCCTTGATCTTGTGATGATCACGTGCGATATTCAAATACTGTTCTTTGGTAATACAAATACAACACAGTTGATGCCATTACCGGATCTGGATTAGCGTCATACACTTGCCTGAGTCAGCGATTCTTTGTTTACTTTGCACTTCGTCCCTCCAGAAACCAGTTTGCGCTCATTTGATACTCATACATCCAAGGTTACTGCCCAGACCATTCATTGGCATGTCCTCTACCTGCTGGTTTCATCTCAACTCGCTAACTTTGAATCCTAGCGGCCAACACAGACAGTGGCTGGACGTGAGCTCCTCCTTCTCGCCCGGATACTCTATTCGCCGGTGACCTGGCGGTCAACAAATCCCAATATGGAGGGTGAAAACATAGTGAATACCCCACTTTGAGTTTCTGTTACATTAGAGGGTATGGGCGCATAACTGACCATCTTCAGACTAGAACCAGGTCGTCCACTCGGACGCGCCTACCACAGGCCGGCCTACGTGAGGCCACCTCCGCGACAACCAACTCGCGCTCCGGCATCATGGCGCCAGGTACAATCGCAAACAAGGCTATAAGCATGTCGCGTATGGAAGACCCTGAACAGTTGGCGCAACATGAACTGACAGCGCCGGAAGCAACCCGCCCGAAAACCGAAAACCCAGAAACAAGGAGACCTGGATCTGTCACCCGACAGCCTAGTACAACGACCAAGGCGCATACCCGAGGAAACTCGTACTCATCTTCAACCATCTCCCGGCCGACCGCCCCTGCATCTCGCACAGCGAACAGCTCCTTTTCCTCAACCGTCGGCCCCGGCACGCGCCCAGCATCGGCAATGTCCCGGCATCAATCGTCCTTCAACGGCCGCAGACCCGTCGGCGCATCGATTCCGCGCGCAGCAAGCGCGTTGGATACCCATATGGAAGATGTCTCTCCCAGTGTGCTAGGAAAACGAAAGGGTATGCCACAATTTCCCTTATCTCCCAGTCGTATCCCTTTTTGCCCCGTTGGAACCGTATCCCCCGGAATGGATGAAGATTGGGATGGAGTTGGTGAATTGGCAGCGCTCTCTATGTCTGAGAAACCTGCCTCTTTTCCAAATCCTTCCAATCTAGCAACTGTCCCCGTGTTGCCCAGTACCCCGTTTCGGAATGCTTCCACCCCAAAGTCACCCGGATATGTGCAGTTCTCCTCGTCCTCTTCTTTATTTACCGCACCCCTCAGAACCCCATTACATTCCCAGCGGCGCATTGTCAAGAAATCCTCCCACCCCGCGTTTTTGACCAAAGGTTCTTCGATCAGAAGTTTTGACAATATCACAGGCCCGGAATGGGATCAAGCCTCTCGCGAAAAGAGCATGGAGGGATTGATGCAGACTTTCATGGCCCAGGTAAATCAACAAGGTCAAGCAAGCTCTGGTCTCAAGGAGACGGTTGATTTGTATAAGTCAAGAAGTAAGTTCAATCGAATAGGGCTATATTGAGACGAAACTAATCCTTTCGTCTAGTCAACGAGCTTGAAGCCTCTCGGGATGAGTTAAAAGAACTCAATATTACTCAGCGCGTGGAACTAGACTCGCTGCGAAACCAGTTCAGTATGGCAGAGCAGGCGCGTAAAGAGGATAAGCGAGAGCATGAAATCGCCATGGATGACCTTTACCAACGACAACGCATTGAATTGGACTCAGCCCAGCAACAAAGTAGGAGAGAAATTGCCACAATCACCGACCGACATCAAGAAGAGGTTCGCGATCTCAAACGACGATTCGATCGTGAGATTGAAGACGAGAAAGCAGCACGACTAAGCGCGCTCGGCAAGCTGACTTCCCAATCTGCACTTGATACGCAGAAGTCCCAAATTGAATTGGAAAGGAAGGACCGGGAAATTACGACATTGCATGATGGGCTACAGGACCTGAAAGCGGAACTCGATCGCGAACGAAGAACTGTCCACGAACTCAAACTCAACCTCGATGCCACAAGCAGCAACGGCGTTACGCTAGAGTCATCCATTCGTGCTCTTAAGGCACGCATTGAGTTCCTCGAAAGTGGACGGGAGGAACAGTCTAAATCCTTTGAGCGGTGCAACCAGCAGATGATGGACGCATTTGCCGAAACAGAAGCGACAAAGGAGAAGCTGCGCAGGGAAGAGACACTCCGACGCAAACTTCATAACCAAGTGCAAGAGCTCAAGGGCAACATCCGCGTGTTTTGCCGAGTCCGTCCCTCGCTCAATAGTGAACCTGCCTCCGACCTCACTCTCATGCAGTATCCTGATGAAAACGACGATGGAAAGGAGATTAATATTCTTGGCCCCGAAGAGAGGAGCAGCCTTGGAACAGTTAACCGGAAGAACAACACTTTCTCGTTTGATCGTGTGTTCAACCCATCTACTCAGAACGCCGAGGTGTTTGATGAGATTAGCCAACTTGTTCAGAGCGCCCTGGATGGCTACAATGTTTGCATTTTCTGTTATGGCCAAACTGGTAGTGGCAAGACGCACACAATGTCATCGGCCGACGGCATGATCCCTCGTGCGGTTCACCAAATTTACGAGACCGCACAAGGTCTGGAAGAGAAAGGTTGGCGGTACTCAATGGCCGGCAACTTCGTCGAAGTTTACAACGAAAACCTTAATGATCTCTTGGGCAACCCGGATGAATTGGATAAGAAGAAGCATGAGATTCGCCATGACATGCAGCGGGGCAAGACTGTTATCACTGACATTACAACTGTCAACTTGGACTCCCCCGAGATGGTTGAGTCGATTCTCAAGAATGCGGATGCCAACCGTTCGGTAGCAGCGACCAAGGCCAATGAGCGCTCCTCGCGGTCTCACTCTGTCTTCATTCTCAAGCTCACCGGCCAAAACCACATCACTGGCGAACGCAGCGAAGGCACGCTGAATCTCGTTGACTTGGCAGGAAGCGAACGTTTGAGCCACAGTGGGGCAACTGGCGAGCGTCTGAAAGAGACTCAAAACATCAACCGTAGTCTCAGCTCTCTGGGCGATGTGATTTCAGCTCTCGGTCAAGGCAAAGAGGGAGGTCACATCCCATACCGAAACAGCAAGGTATGCTCCTTTTACCCTGGTTTTTTTCTCCGGTTAGATACTAACTCGCTCTCCAGCTCACCTACCTGCTCCAATTCTCCTTGGGTGGAAACTCCAAGACTCTCATGTTCGTTATGGTTAGTCCTCTCCAGGCGCACATGTCGGAGACCTTGACCAGCTTGAAGTTCGCCACCAAAGTACACAACACCCACATTGGCACCGCAAAACGACAGGCGCGTGTTCGTGACGTCTGATTATGATGATACCTTTTCAATTCTTGAATATATTTTTGTTAGTTTTCTCTATGGGGGTAGGGGTCTTTAACGATCCTGTCCTCTACCCCGGTGTCTTGGTCGGGGGCTTTTGATGTTCTTTTTCCTTGGGCAAAGTCTTTGGAGATATTCGGTACCTGCCTTAGCGTGTGATTTACTGTATGGACAACATTACATTTGGTCTCATCAATGCACAGTAGCAGGCTCTCAACGGTTTTATCTGTTTGGTTTACATTGCGAGAGATATGCTAGTCTTCCTTTTCAATGAATTTACGGATATCCGATATGGTCTGTTCTCTTTTCTCAATCCAGGGGAAATGACCACATTCGCCGTAGGTAATCACTCGGGAATTTTGAATATCCTTTGCTGTCCGTTCCGCAATCCCTATCCCACAGATCATATCTTCGCGGCCGAATAGGATGAGTGTTTCTGCCTGTACATCACCAAGCCTCTCCACCATTTGCATTGGATTCCGCAATTCCTTGTCACATCGCCCCTGGGCTTGGTAGCACCAAACCGACAACTTGCGGTCTCCAATATCACGCAGTAGCTCTGGTACGTACTGCTTCGGATTGAAGAAGTACAAAGGCCACATTCCTCGCACTGACTCTGTAAATTCCTCGTCAGATCCAGTCTGTCGATCCTGCATCCTATCCCAAGCATCCTGGTATCGAGGATCTATGCGCGTTACTTCAAGCTTCAACAATCTCTTGTCCTGAAATCCCACTAGCTGGTGATCAAGGAGAATGAGCTTTTCAACACGACTAGGGTACATCTCTGCGTACCCTAGCGCAATCGCTCCGCCGTTTGAATGGCCCAGCAAAATCGGACATCGTTCCATATGCAGGTGCTGACGGAGATCCTCCAAGTCGGACGCGAAATCGGGCATACTGCTCATCTGGGATGTCAGTGGTCTGGATGATCCATCCGTTCCACGAGAATGGAAGAAGATGACAGTGTATCCAACGGTAGTTGCGGTACTGGCGAGATCTTCGGGTTTCCACAACGCTTGCAGTCCGTTTTGGAGATATCGAGATCCTAAGCCCCAGCCAGGGCATTGGATAACAATTAGATTGTGTGGATCTTCCTTTCCGGTGGATGGACGATGCACGACATATTCGAATATCAACTCTTTCGCAGGAACACCAAAGGTGTGGACTCCTGAGCAAATTACTTCCGACATTTGGGGACGAAATTTTGAGAAGCAGCATTAATATCCCATAGCTATGCTAGGTCGAACATACAATCAAAAGCAAAATTTATTTCATCCAGAGCAGCACCAACCTGTGACGTCATTTGGAATAGTGTGACTACGTTGTAAAAACAGAAGTGAAGGGGAATGAAGAGTGGAATTTCCAGCTAGAGTTGACTAAAATATCTGTCAGCCTTCTGCTTTACCTGTTGGGCCTTCTCTTGAATAACAGTGGCGTCCAAAGTCCCTTCCTCGCAGATATACGCATCTATGAACTCAGCCGGAACCCATTCGAAGTAGATATTCTTAACTTCGACTGTGTAGTTGGTGCTGTCTCGATCAGCCTCGATACCCTCAGCAAGAATCTTAATTCCTTTAATGCCGCCGTCAATCCAACACCCCACCAGCTCTTTCGGATCGTTCTCTTCGTGGCTATGATCGCTCTCGGCACCAGGCTCGGCTACCTTCTCTAGCTCACTGAGAACCAAGACTTTGGCGGCGGGACAAACATGTCTGGCACTCAGAACAGCTGGCAAAGAGCCAGTTTTATTGCTTACTGAGCCTGAATCCGAGATCCGGTCTGCTCCAAGCAGCACGAAATCCACTTCCTTGCTTGCGAGAGCAGCAGATGCATCAGTGTACACGGTTAGTTTAAGATGTCGATCGGGAGACGAGGAAAATCTTGACTGAAAGGCAGAGAGAATGGAGGACGCCATATTGACTCCTTCGCAAAGCGGACGAGATTCTAGTATCCTAAGCTCCAGATTAGGAATTGGAAGAGATGCGAAGGCCTCCAGGATGCTATATCGGATAGTAGAGCTCGCCGAGAGGGTGAGAATGACGAGAGAGGGCGTAGGCTTTGAGTTTGCTATAGACAGGAAGTTGGATTCAAGATAGGTCGCAAAGGAGCTTTTGATGCGCATGGGCATATCTTTGCGCTTGTCCAAATGGTGGTCGAGCAATGCCAACAAACGTTCCCACTTGACCTTGCTGTCGAGAATGTCGTGTACAATCTCTTCCATGTCGGCGAGCAATCCGAGAAATGCATTCAAGGTGGCTGCGCCCATGCTTTCTCGTCCATTTTTCCACAGATGCCATGCAGCCATGCGAGCAGTTTCCCACCACTTCGTGTTAATGTCCTCGTCCATCTGCTCAATAACATCCCGGAAAGCCCTCAGTGCAATCGAGGTCAGCTCGTGGGATCCACTCTGGTGATCTGCCTTCAGTTCTCCCAGGCCTACTATGAGTGCCTTACTAGCGCTCTCGTTCATGTCGCGTTCAAACCAGACTCGTCGCAGGCTTTCCTTTAGACGTGGTACGCCACCAAATTTCTCATCGTCTTGGATCGTGTCGGGACTGTACCAATCCCAACTTTCATGCTCCCAGTCGATTTGAATACCACCTTCACCACGGCCGCCTTCACGGGAGTCTTTGAGTCGGAATAAGAACGGAAAAATGCTCCACTTCCGACCGACAGAAGGATCACTGAAGGTGTATGGTTTTCCCTTCCGCCAAAGATCAATATCTCGTGGGGTGAGAGTAGTCTCCTCTTTCAACTCGCGCCATGCCGCTGTTTCTGGCGTTTCATGGCTCTCTATACTGCCTGATATGGGAGCGAGATGGTGCCTTGAAGAGTCAGTCAATCTGGGCGCGAACAGTTGATAGTAAAGCGGGGTTCTTAGATACATACTGATATGTGCTGACTTTCTCACTTCGTCGAAATAGAGCAACTTTGGTTTCTCCTGCATTAGAGCAGATGAATGAAGATACCACTGATCTCTGCTTGAACTCGGGGTTGCTCTGGTCCATCTTGATATTGTTGGAGGTACAAGACCTGGAGACAGGGAGGATAAAGATAAGCTCAAAGTTTCGGCCCCGGGGCATCTCCGCAACGCCGTCACCATAGCATCATCAGATTGACAATCGCCTGAACTCATTGATTAAAGCATTTTATACGGAATTTGCCTTATTTCTTTCTTGATTTTCTTGACATCCTTCAAGTTGGCATGACAAACTAATTCGCCTCCAAGTAGCGATGATGTCATCGCTGGTATATTCTACGAATATCAAACATTCAAGCGATTCAATGCTTCAAAATGCCCACTCTCACAGGGTCATGTATTTGCCGTAATATTGAATACGAGCTGAAGCTCGCTTCGATTGATGATGCGAGAACATCTCTCTGCCATTGTCGCAACTGCAAGGTATACGCTAAAAATTGAACGGGAAATGTCATTTGACTAAAGCTGAAATAACTGTACAGAAAGCCTTTGGAACTAATTATGGACTGACAGCTAAAGTCCCAAAGGATACATTTAATCTGACCAAAGGGATAGCAAAAGAACATGTTGCAGATAATGGGTCTGGAGCTGTGATTCATCGAGAATTTTGCCAAAATTGCGGTAGCTTCATCCTAGAATACGGGGTATGTCAACTTTATGCAATAGGTAGGGGGGTTTCTAACAAAGAGATTGGAAATTAGGACGCTGCCAAAGAGCATTTCCGTTACATCTGTATTGGATCCTTAGACAACCCGGAAGCATTACCCCCCAAGGGGGAGTTTTTCTGCAAGGCTCGGGCGAGCTGGATGCCAGAGATTCCGAGTGAGTATGCTGACCTCCTGGCTATCTTATTTTAACTCTGACAAATATACGTAGATGTATTCCACAAGCAGATGGTGAATGAGTAAGGAGTAACGGCATGGATGGCTGTTTGCTCGGTTTTTCAAATACCTCGCCTGTCTATATATGTGCATACATAGTCTCAATATACATATCATATACAATCCACAGTTACGCTTTTCACAACCATATCTGGTGTTAGCAATTTGTCTCGAATGGAGATCGCATTCAAGAAGTCGTTGCTGTCCACCCGGCGATATCCATCTTCCAACGTCTTCTCAATACCTGCCCGTAGGTGGCGCTCAGCCAATCGGCTCCTTGCTTCTAGCGGATCAGAGTCGACGAAGACGCGATAGTCAACAAGTCCAGCAAGTTCACACCAGCCGGGATTATCAAGAAGCAAATAATTGCCCTCGATGATAATAATCTCTGTATCCGGCGTGATAGAAATCCCGTTCTCGACGGGATCTTTCGCTTCGTGATCGAATGTCGGTGCATGAATGACATCTGCTGACGACCAGGTTCCAGAATAAGGAGTTGCTAGCGGTGTCTCGTCGGCCCAGGTGCGGAGCCGAGAGATAAAGGCTACAAAGCGGCTCACGTCGAACGTCCATGGAGCTCCACGACGGATATGTGCCTCTTTGGGGTTGGGTAGCTGATCCAAAGCTGCCCGAGAAAGATGGAAGCCATCCATAGAGAGCAGGGCAGCACGAGAGGTCGAGCTCTGATTCAACTGTTGCACTACTGCCTCGGCTGTGGTGGTCTTCCCTGAACCGGGGATGCCTGCGATGGCAACTAGGTAGCGTGATTTGGGGTGAGCGTCGGCCTGGTTGTGGATTGCATCCGCCAGCCGCCGGTACTCGGATTCCATCTGTAATCTGAGGTTAGCTTGGGTAATAAGAAGGCTTAGATTGGGGTTTTACCTTGAATCAATCACACATGGGTATATCTTATAGTGACGCAAACTGATGCCTCAACCACGGTTGGTGACAATCAACGAATCATGCTGCACCAGGAAGGTAAAGAGCAAGTTCAGTAGTTACCTGGGTATTCTTGAAATGGTCTGAGAAAAGTGCAGGGCCAGATTATGTATGTGTGTTGGGGGAGCGGGTATCGGGTCACAGTGTTCCGAACACAGTGGTTCTCGGTGTTGTGCCGCTGATGTGTACTTGTGCCGACTCGGAATTCCTCCTCTATTAGGAAATCTGATGTGTTATTTGGGGTAAGTCAATAAAAAGGGGGGTTGCGGGGGAGGG